GTTGGAGCGGCGTGAACTAAATGATATACAAGTGCCTTCTCTCAAAATAGATTTTCACCACGGGTGGTGAATGAAAGAGCTTTTTTTCAAAGACTTTTGTGGAATAAAAAGTCGTTCGAGCTAACTTGCCATCTGTCTTTAATTTGTCTTACGAAAGACTTTTTACTATCTTAGCTAGAACTCCCTGTTAATATATAATAAATTTTACATTTCGAATGGAAAAACAGTAACGGATTTTATTTTGTATGGACAGTGAGGCACCCTAATATACATATTTTGAAATTTTTTATTTCTAAGATTTATTTCCAGCCCACACTAAAAAAAACTGTGGGTGATAAGATCAGAGAATGTTAATTAACATTCTCTGGTTGCATCGGGTGAGCAACAGTTTATCGATTCGAGAATTAATGCGCTGATAAGAAAACGAAAACTCGTATATCGAGACGATAAAGTGGCCGGTAAACTAAAGCTTAGATGAGAAAACGGCCCTTAAAGTATTTATTCTCTTGCGTTTTTCTGTCCACAAGAAATACATACCAGAGACTGGCTTGCGTTGAACGCCAACTATTGCAAACTCAATCAATACTGCTGCTTTGTATGACTGAGCAGCGCGGTCGCTTAGTAGTATCAAAATGTGAACAAACGAACAGCATCATAGCGCTGCATTTTTTTATTTTCGCTATGTTCAATAGCAAAAATTAGGGCTTGGTGCTCGGTAAGGCCCTGTTTCCACAGGAAAACACCAAAGTCGTGATAACCATGTCACAAAATATATTTCCAATGGATATCGCCTTATTGCTTGACATCTATTGCAGGCAATTTGATAGTTTGACAGCCATATTTACACTTAATAGGAAGCGTGCTGGTGGTTATATCGATGAAATATTAATATTAAATCAAAATAAGAATCTGTTCCCTATTGGATTATTTATGACAACGTTTTAGGAAGATATTCAGTAAGTTTGTTTAAGATTTAAATGTTTTTTTAACACCGAAATTGAGAATGTGGTCTGGCGGCGTAATGCGGCAAATGCCTATACATATCTAGACATCAAAGTGCCCACACACAACAGTTGGTAGGCAATAAAAATTTCAAGGCGTAACTGCAACTGAAATTGCGCAAATTGCACTCGGGAAATAATTTCAACTTGCTCGTGCAATAAATGTTAAATTGTTTTGGAAAATGGTTTTTCATAAAAATTATTAGTTTTATTCCATATTGATGCTTTGATACTTAAATGAAAAAAAGTGATACATATTGATACATTTTAAGTCTCTTTTCTGCTGCTGCAATTTTTCACAAGCCCGCAGTCACACTGTTCCGAATGCTCGTTCACGAAACTAGCAAACGCGGCATTTGAACGGTTGCCGAAAGCATGAGAGCTCATTGGGTCGGTTGGCGAAGCAAGACGCTGCAGTTCATTTGTAGCAGAAGTCGTTTGACTTGTTGCTGAAAGCCATTTGACTTGTTGCCGAAAGCACGACGAATGTCGTATGTATGTATGTATTTATAGCTCGTCTACCATTCAATTTCTTTACTCTCTGCTGGCGCCAAGAACGTGTTGGCAGGCTAGTTGTGAGGAATGTGTATACGTACGTATGTATGTATGTATGTACATATCAATGCTTCATTTCAAACAAGCAAATGTCGTTGAACTGTTTTTGAAATACAGTATCATGACTTCGGCAACGTTTGATGCCTTCAGCAACAAATAAAATGGCTTTCAGCAACAAGTCAAACGACTTCTGCAACAAATGAACTGCGGCGTCTTGCTTCGCCAACCGTCCCAATGAGTTCGCATGCTTTCGGCAACCGTCCAAATGAGCTCTCGTGCTTTCAGTAGCCGTCCAAATGCAGTATCGTGCTTTCGGCAGTCGATCAAATACGGCGGTTGCTGGTTTCGTACACGTTCACTCGGAATACAGTATGAGCTGTTATAAGTATCGTTCACTTGTGGTAGCTGTATTTGCAAGCACTGTACGCTATGCGCTGGTGTTCGTTCATCCCCCGTTTTTAATGTGAGCAGGCCTTTAAAAGCGCAAACAGTCAACGACGTAGCGTAGACGTAGGTTGACGCAGACACGATCTAGCTTATGGGATTCGCGTGTTAACGAAAACTCACCACCGCATGGCGGTGACGTTGCCGTTGCTTCTCTCTATCAACAGTAAATTTTATATGCTGCTACCTACGTTTACGCTACGTCGTTGACTAACTGAGCTTTTATAGTCACAAAATCAGCTTCGTTTGCCAGTCTCTGATACATACATATAACTCACCATTTAAGCAATAAACGCTCGTCAAA